CGAGTATTTCCACCCTATCGTGCGGATCCGCAAGAACAATCTCAACTTCACGCCGGCGTCGTTGCAGGGATATAGCGTTGAGAAGCTCGATGGTAGTACGGGGTGGAAGTGGGTGAAGAGGGGCGTGCACGCAGTGCCCGAGTATGTGATGAGCCCGGAGAAGAAGATGAGTGTCGCGTACGAGGAGGGTGAGACTGTGAAGTATCGAATTCAGGAGAGCTTATCGAGGTTGCTGTGTCCCACGAGCATTCTGGTGGATATAGATAATGACAATAGGATAAACGGGATCGACGGATCGTCAGCTGAGTAATTATGAGAATAGGGTATATTGGTATATATGGTGAATATAAAAAGTGGGTTTGACAAGGTTGTTCGGAAGTTAAATACGAGGATAAATGTGTATAATGCTATTATTATGTTATTTCAAACTTCAAATCAACGGCCATTCTTTGGTCTAGATCCTGTCCTAGCTTCCGCGATGATATCAAGTTGATATCACAAAATATATCCGCCATTAGGATTAGAATGTTTTCAAGAGTACTACTGCACCAAGCGTCGAAGGGAGAGTACAGCACGACATCGATGTCAACTATAGCCCCCGACATGCTGCACAGCTTCCTCACCATCCGTATTGGTTTGATGGTCGGCGTTGGAGGCAGTGCACCGAGCCCAAAGAATGACATACGACTCGGCGATGTGGTGATATCCGTGTAAAAAGCTTCGCTGTCGGCTGCTGTGTTCAAAGCCTACGAGCACAGAGTAATCCAACTCTAGTACAGTTTTAAACGATTTAATGGAATTGAGAATGTACAGGGGTGCTAGAGTTGGATTTTGCTTGCCCCTGTAGAGTTGATAACTGATCTCTGACCCTTGTACAGTTGGGTTACATCTGACCAATTAAAACAAACTACAGGAGTTTCCCATAGAGTCCTAAAGCTATCCAATAACAATCACACAGGCTAATAAACTACACCGCAGTTTCAGTAAATCTTTATTATAGGCGCAGGCTGTAGCTATGCAGCCTAACTAGGCTAACTAACATAAGGGTTAGGTATAAATGCACTTCTTAGCTATTAAGCCCAACATATTAAGCTTAAATTCTAATAGCATTCTATATGATACCTGATAATCCATGTCTTTGCAGCTATAAATCAAATAGCTGGCTTTTATTAGCATATATCACTATTGTTTAAAGAGTTCGCTTAATGTACACTACCGCCGTGTTATAACCTCAAACCATGGCTTCAGAGGCATTACACTAGTTATACATTGCGATATAGTTGCAGCAGACGCTCAGGCCGTAGTCTCTCCGTACCGTTCCATAATAAGCTTCGTCCTCAATGAATCTTCAGCCAGGAACCAGCTCCTATCTCTATTCTGCAAAACCTCCACGAGCTTGTCGCAACCCTCCATCGCCTTCTTTAAGTCAGTTGCCTTAAACGATGCCTCAACAATTGGCTCAAGGCTGGCGTCCGTTTTGTTCTTCCGAATCAGCCACACTTCAATAAAAAGCTTCAACTGATTCCAGGTAGATTTAGACCGCTTCGCGAGTACCGGCCCGTAGACTACTGAGCTGGCGAGTTGGTTAGTACTCCAGTTGTCGGCTAACCAATTCGTAAATTCTTTAGGTGCTTTGTCAACGAGGAACTTGCTCGAGTCTTCCGCAAGGGAAAGGTCCGTTCCTACGAAACCCATGTCGGAAACTTCCGTATCGTAGCTGATGGAGAGCGTCTGCTTCCGGTAGCCAACTTCAACTTGCGCTTCGAAGGTAGTCGTTGAATCAAACCCCTCTTGCTTGGCCATCTTAAGCGCTGCATCAATATTGCCTCTAGTAGTACTAGAGCCTCCGTCGCTAATCTCATAGCGCTTCTTAAACGTTAACTCAAACTTATCTTCGCCTTCTGTTTTGCGGATGCGAAGGCTCCAGCCGTTGGTGTAGAGGCCTTGTTTCGTGTTGTCTACGAATTGGATGTTCATTTTCTTAGTGCTCGACGGCATGGAGAACGCCGATAAAACCGCATCTTTGAGTTTGTTATTTGCTTCAAGTACTTCAGAGGGTTTGAGAAGGACTTTGACCTCGTAGTTGGGGACTAAGTTGGACGCCATGATACTGGCCATTTGGGGCCAGCTGAGGTAGCAATAGAACTAACGATGAGACCAGGGGAAGTTATATAATTAACTCCCAATCTCTCAAAGTAGAGAAGTTAGGTTAATGGTCATTCATCGGCTATTTAATGATTTTTCAGATTGCCATTTCCCCGAACGCAACCGAGTGGAGGAGGGCGTTTGACCAAAAACCCCCGCTCAATCTTACTTTCATGGTCCTCATTTTAGTCTTCGAGCGGCAGGAATGCTGGGCGGAACTTTGAGCTAATAGTAGGTACATAAGAGAACTCACATCACAATTTGTGGCTTGTGTCTTTCTGATCCACTCGCAGCTGAGGTGTATATTACAGACGGGAATATTGAGATCGATCGGAGGTGTCCGGTTCATGCTATCACCATTGACCTCGGCAAAGAACTCTACGTGTTTTGGCTTAAGTTTAACGTTTCTGTGCCTTAGCTAGCTGTACCAAAGTGATCCAACTTAAATTTTCTGCCTATATAGCGGAGCTATGGGGAACGTATTGCGCACGTTCTCCAACAAATGGCGCCTTTTCATAGGCATCGGAGGTAGAGTGGACCTAGGCTAAATGCCACTTATGTTTACAGCGTAAATTTAATTGTCCTTTTCCGGAGAATTTAAATATATAGAAACTGATAGCTCGGAGGAATTGATCCGCTTGAAACAGATATCAGCTATTTCCCATCTCTCTAATGAACTATAACCATAGTGAAAAGGGTGGCCTTAACAATGAGCCATTTGTATTCCAGTGTCCTCTGGGGTTTTCTCTGCTTCTGCAGTGACTGCCGGACGGGCCAGATAACATAGCTTAAGGAGCTAGATTTGAGAGGCTGTTTCTCTTTCCCGTACGAAATATAGGGGCAGAGTATCTTGGAAAAGGACCAGAGAGTTAACTGTGAAATACGAAACGTACCACATTATAAAGACTAACGACTACATTATTCTAAAAGCCTTAGGCCACCTAAATATAATGCAAGAGAATAAATAAGAACAAAAAAACTTCATACAAGCTTTAGGAAATTTAAGGTCCTGAGCATGAGCTAGGATGGTGGCCCCGCCGTCGCTCTCGACACTTCAATTAAGTTAACTATCACTATATAGAGTTATTGCGGCTGAGACGCGAATGATATCTGAGTTATGATGCATACAGCACATTCTATCCAGACGCCTCTTCGCTATAAAGGGCTTTTTTTATTTAAAATGGCATCACCAGTTAAGGAGAGACAGCAGCGGCTGAGCAACCTATGGCGCATAGCTGCCGTCAAAATGAGGTCACTCACTTGATTAAACTACTATTTAACAGCAGTTTTCCAGCCTAAGACTTCAGACTGCGGCTGAATCTACTTATAGGGATATATATTGTACTACAAAGTAGCTACTGGACTTATAAATTACCAACTTCCCGCTATACCAGACTTCTCTTACTATTAACAAAAGGCACTGTCTGTATAATACAAAACCCTATCTATCAATATTAATTATAATTACATTATCTCCCTTTATAATAAGAAGAGATATCAAAATGTCTGAGGTTAAATATTTCCGAGCATCTGCTCGAGGGAGCCATGACGCTCGCGAGCCTCGGTGGGAAGACACAAAGCTAGTCGCCGCTGAAATGGCCAGAAAAAAACTCATCGAAGCAGTCGTTGACCGCCCTGGAACAGCTTTCATAGATTATGACGGTAGAAAAGAGACTGTGGCTGATCATGGGAAGTTCTATGAGTATAATGGCGAGGAGAATATAGTATACACCGACCCAGATTCCCACACTGATAGCAGAAGAGGCAAATAGACGGGTACTATTACAGCATCTATTACATCAGGCTTTAGTGTTTCAACAGAATAATTTATTTTACTTGAGGGGTGAAAAATATACTGTCTAACCTATTCGCATCATTATCTCACCCTGGAGCACATGCGTTGGCTGTATATAAACAGTGAGTGCTGATACCTATCTCCGGAGACAGATGCATTAAATCTATGTAAAATAGCTGTGCAGGTTTCGGTTCCTGGAGACAGATACATTAGCCGTGTATAAACTGGTGAGTATTAATATACTGTCTCCGGAGACAGACACCTAGGCTGTATGTAAAATGGTGAGTGCCGGCTTCTATTTCAGTGACCCTGATTGTTATTATATAGAGCAACTGCGTCTGTCTCCAGAGACAGAAACCAGCACGACTATTGTAAATGCAGCTACTGCATCTGTCTCCGGAGACAGAAATCACCACTGCCCATCTTACATGCAGCTAACACATCTGTCTCCGGAGCAGAAACTAGCACTGCTATTTTATATACAGCCAATACACCTGTCCCCAGAGATAGAGAAAATGTGTTACCTAACCTTCCCTAAGGAGTCGGCAACCGGATTCAAATGCGTCGACCTTGTCAATTCGCTTTATAAGTGTCTAACTACTGGCATACAACGCGTATGATAGTCGGCTTTTTAGAATTGAAATCAACATTGTGGTCCCCATTCTTTACGCAATTGACTCGGTAGGAATCGCCAGTCCTATCATGGAATAGTAGTCGTAGTTCTTGATACTGGTGAATTCCAATGTATACTCGTAGACCCAGCCATCGCACCTGTAGAGCTTGAATTGCGTGATTCCCGTTGCTTCTTGGAAATCTGGTGTTGTTTTCCTCCATAC